GTAAATAGCTTTTCATTAAAAATTACCTGGCAACGCATCTTAAAATTACCGGTGAGTGGTGATGCTTAGGGCTTAAAAACCCATATATTGGCAATGCTGCATCCGCCCTCTGCACCATGGTATGTAGGTGTGAAAATCAACGGGGTTCATCAAAGTCAGTGGTTCAGTCAGCAACAGCTCTTCAAGAGCACGTCCAGTAGCATTCGGAGTGTTTGTTCGTGATGACAGGATAGGAGAGTGGGCGTTAAAATCACCAACTACCAGGGCAGATATGATGAGGTAAGTTGGTGAGTGTATGAGGTCAATTCCTGGAGGGTAACTGCACCATTAGGGTAAATATTCAAGATGGATATAGTTGTGGCATTTCTGAGGTGGAGACTGATTGCCTGCACCAGTGCACCTCTAAGATTCCTGTTGGGAAGGGGAGCAGCATAAGGCGCTGATAGCACAAGGAAATATTCACAAGCATACAGAGGCCTCCCTCTCTACCGTCTCTATTGCACCAGTAGGTTGAAACCGTTGAATATCTCAGGAAGGTAGGCAAATATTTATCAGTCACCCATGTTTTGGTGAGGCACAGGATGCTGGGCTTTAGAGGATACAGTAACAACTTGACTTCTGCTAGATGGGTTTATAGACTGTTACAGTTCAACATAATGATAGATAGTGGTGAAGTTAATGGGGCCATCAGGTTACTTATTTTTGGGTAAGTGCTGTCGGTTTTGGGATGATTTCCTAGTTGCTTCAACTCTTGCGGATGACCTAGTTGGACCACTTCTGGGGCTCTTCTTTCTGCCAGCTGCCTTCCCCCTCTCATTGCCCTTGGGTGGAATTATGGGCCACTCATCCTTCTTTGAACCACTTTGTGTGGCTGAGTCCATATCAGACGAATCTGATGTCTGAATGAGTTCAAAATTCTGTACACCTAGAGCCACAGCTAATTCATCCTCAGAGCACACAGCCTCAGCTTCTAGGGAAGACATAGATGGGTTGAAAACTCATTTGTTGGCTTCCAGTTGCACTGGAGGGCTTGTTGAGGTGGCCTTGGTGAAAGCATCTGCAGGTAGAGAAAAGTGTTTGGCAAGTGCATCAATAACAATGGACCTACGCTTGCTCTCAGACTCAAGAGGTAGGTTTAAAGAAAACAAATCTTGGAGAACACCAACCAGACTACTCAGGAAGCCCTGAGGAAGGATGCAGCTGGAGCACCCTGCTCATTTAGCAACAGATTCATAGGGTTACAATTACAGCAAGAGATTTTCTGAGCACTGGTCACAGCTGATGTCTGTTGACTGGTCCCAGAATTTCCCAGACTTTGATGAACCTCTGCCACTGTGCAGCTGCTATGCCATCTTGACCCAGGAGAGCACACTGCAGCACTCCATGAGCTAGCTGAATCCTGAGAACTGCCAACAGTCTGCACCATTGTCCCTCCAAAGCTCCTTCTTCCCCAGGCACTAGGGCGCCCACTATTGGCATCATTAACAACTGGGTTCTGAGTCAGAGGTTGCATTGTGGCTCTTACTGGCTGTTGCTGACACTGAGCAGCATAGGGGTACAACTTAAGGCAGGTCTTTGAATTGGCTTTGTGAGGCTGTCCACAATTAGCACACTCAATTTCACTACTGTTGCAGCTACTTACGTGATGCAGTCCAGCACAAACCGGACAATGTACTGGGCTGCGGCATCCCTGTGCTGAGTGTCTTGGGCGCTGACAGTGGAAGCACTGGAGTGGAGGAAATTCATAGGGGTGGACTCTATAGTGGATGGGGCCAAACTTAATGTGAAGCAGTAAAGCCTCTCCTGTGAATACCAAACACAGAGATGTTGATGGGACTCTTGTCCGATCTTGCTGACACTGTGGTCTTTCAATGCGGATTACTTCAGCATTGCCTTAAACTTTCAGGCATGCCTGAAGTGTTTCTAGGTCAGCATCAATTTCCACGGGTGACTGGAAGCCCAGGATGTCTGGACCTAGTGCTGGTCAGTTCAGATGTATCTCCTGGCTCTAGTCTAAGATGCTTGCCAGTGTGGGAAGTGACCACTTCCCAATATTAGCCACCTCTGAACTCTCCCTATTGAACCTGGATTCTGTTCCTGTGCCATGATGGAAGATTGCCCCCAATGGACTGCAGCAGATCTCAGCTTGTGTACCTGCATCAACTATAATAACACCTGCTTTCATTGATGCTCAGACGGTAGATTTTACCACAAGGATAATAAAAGCTGCCTCTCAAGTCTTTGACTCTACATCTGGTATACCACCATCTAGGCCTATTTCACCATGGTGGAGTGAGGAGTGTCGAAAAGCAGTGCATTCCCGTTGGAAGATGCTGAGGACTGTTACCCGACATCCCTCCATGCTTAATCTCATAAACTACAAGAAGAAGTGTGCAGAAGCTAGAAACTGCTTGCTGAGGCACAAGAGAGAATACAGACAACACTTTCTGCAAGAAATAAATCATACTGTCCCTATCACTGTTGCCTGGCGCAAGCTCCATCTCTTTCGTGCTCGCCTCCCATCACCAGAGTATCGTCTAACTGTAAATGGACAACTAATCACAAATATGCTGGATCAAGCAAACCTATTATGTCAGACAATAAGCTCCTGCTCTCAGGTCAACAGAGCACAAATCCCCCTTATGACTGAAAACCACCCTCTGGATGATCTGGACCTTGGTGCCCCATATAACAGAGAGTTTACCATGGCAGAGATCCATCGTGCCATACAAAGGCTGCATCAAACATCTCTGGGTGCTGATCGTGTGCACAATGCCTTTCTTAAATCACTGAGTGACAACCACCTCTTGGAACTATTGCTGCTCTTCAATCAGAGTTACTGTACAGGTGTGGTCCCGTCTGCATGGAAGGAAGGAGTTGTTCTACCAATTTTGAAACCTGGAAAGGACCCTTCACAGCCCACATCATATAGGCCTATCGCACTTCTTTCCTGCATTGGTAAGTTGTTCGAGCAAATGGTGGCTGCTTGACTGGAACACATTTCAGAGTCCCAAACTCTCTTCTCTAGCTCGCAATGTGGATTCAGAGGTGGATTGAGCACAATAGACGTTTCACTCAGACTGGAACACTTGATTTGCTCTTCCCAATCTGCTTCGGATGTCTGCCTTGTGGTTTACATAGACTTACAGTCTGCATTTGATAACGTCTGCATTGACTCACTTATATTCAAGCTCAGAAGTGCAGGACTCACAGGCAACATGGTGACGTGGTTGCAGAAGTACCTAAAAGCACGAAGTATACGGGTCTGTGTGAGAGGATTCCTATCAGACCCCAATGTGTTGGGAGCAGGCGTTCCCCAGGGAGCAGTTTTAAGCCTGCTTCTATTTAATCTCCTGCTCATGGATATCCCACAGCACGACAGCACACACACTCTCATCTATGCCGATGATGTTACAATAGCATGCCATGCACAAACCATGCAAGCAGCAAAATTGAATATGACTAACTATCTAAGGATCATCAGTGACTACTTCAAGAGTTGGGGACTGGTGGTCAATCCCAACAAAACAGTTTTCCAATACTTCAGCAACAAATGCAAGCAGGTTCCAGTCATGCGCTTTGATGGCAAGCTCATAAACTATAAAGCACAGCACAAAGTACTTGGCATGATTTTGGATGCTCCACGCTTATGTTGGGGACCGCATATTACTAGCTTGCGATGTGACATTATTCGCAGGATGGACCTTCTTAAACATATGGCATCCCCAAACTGGGGTGCATCCAGGTGCTTCCTCCGGAAGTTTTACTGTGCCTATATCCAAGCAAAGATGGATTATGGATCCACCCTCTTATCAGACAGCCTCAAATTCAATGCTTGCCAAATTAGATGTGCTGCAAAATGCCTGCTTGCGCCTGATCCTGGGTGCGCGACAAACAACTTCCATCATCTCCCTGCAAGCTGAAGCGCGTATACCTGCCCTGTCCCTCTGCCGCCAGTCACTTGGGGCCCAATTAGCTCTAAATCTGTGTTACAGACCTACTAACGATAAAACTGCTTCACTGATGATGCTTCCCTGCACAAGGATAAACTCCACCCTAGCTACAGCCGCTGCCCATTTCCGTTTGTATGGGCCCTGTCACCCTATACCAGTGCCTGTTGTGGATCCAGCCCCTCCGTGGGAACAAGTTACTGCATACATACAAGTCAACATGAACTCTACATTGGGAGTGGAACCCATGCATCAATTCAGTGCTACCATGGGTGAGAATTTTCCAGGCTTTCACACTGTTTTTCGTGATGGTTCTCACCTGCCCAATCTGGAATCAAGTGCTTGTGGCATATACCTACATTCCTTCGCAGGATAAAGCCATTTCTTGGCGCCTGCACCCAAAGAGCAGTGTGTTGACTGCTGAGCTCTTTGCCATCTACCACTTGTTGGTTGTTGTTGAGGGTGCTTCACACCCTGACTGGGTTTTCTGCTCTGACTCCCGTTCAGCTCTACTTCTCCTGCAGTCACCTAGGAGCCTCCACACCAGGTACTCACTTGTTGTCTACTGCATCAGGGAGATGCTCTGGAGGCTCAATGCTGACAGACAAGTGGTGCTACAGTGGGTGAAAGCCCATGCTGGGATTTGTGGAAATGAGTTGGCAGATCGGGCAGCCAAGTTGGGACATGAGCTCAACCACAGCTCATTCCACCCAGTAGAGTTTGCAGACTGTAAATATTGGCTCAGTAGACAATTACTTGCTCGTTGGCAGGAAAATTGGCACCAAACTGTTGCAGTTTCTGGAAAGGGACAACACCTGCTGACCATACGAGAAGATCTACTTCCTGTCCCATGGATACATGCAAGATCTCGGCGTGTCACAGTTGTGCTTGCTCGCCTTCGGCTGGGACATGTGGGTGTGAACGCATATATGTATCGCTTCTTCGTGTCTGACTCACCTTTGTGTGCCACCTGCAACCAGGATGAAACCATAGAGCATTTTATGCTATAGTGCAGTCGATATAGTGTTGGACGCTGAAATTAGAGCGCACTCTGTTTGGCTTGGGCATCCAGACCCTGACCCTGCAAACACTACTTGGCAGGGTGACTACTCAAAAACTATATACAACATCTTATCATTAAAGCAGTTACCAAATTTCTTGCAAGCACTGGATGCCTTGGAACCCTTTGAAGAAGTATCAAGTCATAGGGGAAGTAATTTGGAAACGTAACATAAATCCACCAGTTATTTGAAAATACCAAGAAGATGAATCACCAGTTATCTGGAAATACCAAGAAGAGGAACTATGTCAGCTATGAATCAAGACAGTTAAAAGATCTTTGGAAACCATGAAAATTATAGCAGCAACCCAAGCAATTGCCATCTATCTGGAAATAATACCAGGAAAATCCTGAAATAACAGCCACCTCCTACAAGCAAGAAAAATTAGACTGTGGCTGCAAGTGGCAAATTTGGAAAGCCAGCAATTAATGCCATATCCAGGTGTGACAGTTGGCCTGAGTGAGGTCATCTCTTCACCTTCAACAAAGCACACACACATATAACTCAAGCAATAACTTTAGACTTGGACAAGTAGTGTTATTCTTCCCCCTAATCATCTTTGTAAAAATCTTTTCAGAAAATTATTTTCACAAACATGACAGAAAATATATTCCTCTTTGTACCTAACCTCATTGGTAAGTAATTGTTTTAATTCTTATTAATTCAAATTGAACAATATTAAAAATAATAATGCAATAAATTAGACAACTCTCTCCTAAAGTTGTTCATTTGTTTTAAAAATTTTATTTACACCTTATACATAGTCAAAATGTGGTCAGTGTTATTTGAAAATTGGTTCAAAAAATATTGTGGCTATGCAGACATCGAAATGCAGAAGCTTCTTTTTACTCTATTATTTTGAGTCCTATCACTCCTATTACTATTAATAGACCTGTAAAACTAAAAAAGTAAAGTATCATGGTCACAACTCCAGTCTCCATGATCCCATCTCCCATGAGCCAAGGATATCAGCATTATCATATAGATTCTAATTATTATGTTTAACTAGATAAGCATAAGCGAATTAAAAGTGAAACTAGCTAGGGTAAACACGGTATATTCCGACATCGTGGGTAATTCTGACACTTCTCAACTTTTTTCCTTTATATTAAGCTTTTTCTTAGTTCCATGCATTTGTTGACCAGGTTTCATAGTGTGGCACAAGAGTCATTGTAATAGTATCTCAGGGGTCATCTGGTCGACATGTATACTTGTATTTTAATTTCAATTTCAACCAATTTAGGAACTCTATGAGATTACATAGTACTAAGTCTTGTTATTAATTCATTTGATTCTTCATTTACAGGTCAAGGATGGATTTTTTATTACCATGTTTTTCTTGACTTTGTTTCGTGCCTGTCTGTCATAAAAAATTTACACCTTAATTTAGAGCTCTTCTGAACATCCTAGAAACTTTAAATTTGGCATGCATGCTTATGCTGCCTAACAATTCAAGATTTGATCATCAGAAATAATTATTTAAAATATTTTTTTTAGAAAAAAACATGAAAAATTCACGGTTTGGAATTGGGTTCTTCTCTAACATCCACACTTGCCAACCCTGGAAATTGATTTCAATTACTAAAATTGCTAGCTAAAAAGTAGAAAATAAATAAATATAAAAAAATTTAAAAACCTCTTTTCTCTGGTTTTTACAAAACTAAAAATAATGAAATAAAACAAATAAAAAACTGTTGAAAACCACGTTTTCTTAAGGGGACCGTCTACCCTCCATAAAAACTTCTACAGTTACGGTATTATTCGATCATCATGAAACTTCACATACATACGTAAAATGTATAAAAAAACATTTTGCTCTTTAGAATTTTTAGAAAAATTAATAGAAAACGTGAAATTCATAGAAAATGGCCAAAAAGGGGTACTTTAGAAAAAGCATCTCCTCCTACAAGTATCGTCCTACAACATCGAGACATGTATCATTCAATTTGTAAACATAGTGGCAAAGCAGAGAGTTTTTTAGACTCTTCCTCAAGTTCATTTTTGAGTCCTATAAGTAGACCAGTAAAGTATCTTGGATACCAGAATTATCAATTTTTTTATCATACATAAGAAATCTGTTAAAATCTTGAGTAGGTAGGTAAATGAGGAAATTAAAAATGAACTGATTCTAAAAAATCACTGGTTTGCCACTATGTTTGTAAAGACCATACCTATCGACTCTGCCATCCCTTTTGTTCACTTTCCCCATATTTTTTGTATGCGCGATTTTCCCATTTTTTTCATTTTTTCCCCCTCTCCCCCCTTCTCCCCCATATATATGACGAACCATACACAAATTAGAAAAAAAGGGATGGCTAGGTCGATAGGTATTGTCTTCACAAATCAAATGATATATCTCTCATTGCTGTAGCTTCAAAACTCTAGAAGAAGATAGATTTTCCGTGAGAGCAATTGGGAGAAATAGAGGTGTACAACACGCTCAAAATACTGCAGCGCTGCACGTAAATGGACGTAAAAGAGTCGTAACGTAGCCCAGATACTACCGCAATTAAGCCTCAAACCAAGTCAGCGAGGCATAGAGCGACTGGCAGCATACCTACCACCTTGCTGTCTTGATGGGCACTGAGTGTGTTGGCCGCTATACGCGATATTTGTAGAGCTTCTCTTGAATTATCTCCCATTCAAATAGTGAAGGCTGCCCCCCCCACCGCCATCTATTCTGCGACGCGTCTTGCACGTCAAAATGCAGGTAGAGAGATGGTTCTGGTACCGTTCTACGCGTCAGAAATTGAGCTTTAAGATGAGTATAAGCACCAGATATTGCCATAATTGGCCGCTTTATGTCAGACGTTCCTTTTTAGTGTGTCCAGCCTTCTAATTAATCCCATAGACTTTACTGGAGGGGCCTCAAAACCGCCCCCTTTAGGGAGCTGTCACAAAATCATTTTTCGACGTAGATGGATGATTCTGGTACCTTTTGATGCATCAGAAAGTAAGCTTTAAGATGAGCACAAAAACCGGGAAACGCCAAAATTTGAAATTTTAGAATAGACGGTCCCCTTAATGGACAAAAAAGAAAAACATTTACTCTTACATAACATTACATAACATTTTACATAACTTAAATGTTATGTGAGAGTACATAAATGTTTTTCTTTTTTGTCTGTTAAGAAAATGTGGTTTTTAAGTTTTTTATTTGTTTTATTTCATTTTTTTTAGTTTTTAAAAACCAGAAAAATGTGGTTTTTAGCACATTTTCTCATTTATGGAAAAAATGCACTATTGTGCTTGCCATATCTGTCTGTCCGTCCATCTGTCCGTGACCTCAAGTTTTTGTCGACGAGAAAATGCGCTCTCTGTCACTCACTGCAGTGAGTGAGTACTGAATTATATTTTTTGAAATATTTTTTATATTTGTTTATTTTGCACTGGTCTCATTCTACTTTTTTCAGAATGTCATGGATAGATTTTCCTGGAACTGGTCTCATTTTACTTTACTTCAACTGATTGCGGATTTATTTTCCCTGTTCACTTATCTATTTCTACTGTATTTTAGCAGGTTGTGAAGAAATTTTTGGGCGTAGGTCTCATACTACTTTGCTCCAACAGGTTATGGACGGATTTTCCTGGCACTGATCTCATTCTACTTCATGCCCACGGACCACGTCATTGCATCATTTTGTTACCTCTTATCTGGCTTCTTGGATGCTTTTGATGGTCATGCTGCTAGAGCTTTCAATCAAAGTAAGGCAGAGTTGGAAAGGTTGGAATTATTGTTAATGGAGACTGCCAAAATTTTTCTTGATCAATTTAGTTTTTGGTGTTTCATGCCTCACTTTGAAGGATCAAAATAGATTTAAAGGAATTTTTTTTATTTGAAGTACATTTTATCAATTTTCAAAATATTGTGTTTTGTGCATTTTCAGTCTTGCATAAAAATAATCCATGTCCCTGCTGGATTGTTTCATAAAACTCTTATGTACAGGCACCAAGTTTGGAGGGATGCTTGACATGCTGACTGACCGGTGTGGCACGATGTGCCTCATAGCTTGTCTCGGGACATTCTACCCCAAGTATCTCTTCTGGTTCCAACTCTCCATCACTATTGACATTGCCTGCCACTGGCTCCACCTACACACGTCAGTCTAAATCTCTACATATTTTAAGATTATAGTTACAAACTTTTCCAGTACCTAGCTTTTTTCTGTTATCATAAATCATGTGTAATTTTGTCTTGTTCATGTGTCAAATCAAATTGTTGTGTATTTCACAATTATTGCTACATTTATTTCCAACTTATTTTTTTCTGTTTTCTAAGATAATGTGCAATTTTTATCTTGTTCATTCTTTTGGGCAATATCTTGTTTGGGCAAGTTTAGCATCTCAATATGGTTATGTTCACATCAGATCGTGAACCATTTGAAATAACTTTCATTTTTACAACACTTCTCTTTAACTTCACTTCATGTTTGTTTGTTTGTTTATTTGTTTGTTTGTCTGTCTGTCTGTCTGTCTGCTACAAATCTTGTAATCAAAATTTAATACACTTCTACTTATCCTATCGATCTGAAATTTTGCCCACTTGTGTAAAGTTGGAGACAATGCATGAATCAAATGTCAAAATAAATGATTTTAGAAATTAAAAAAAATTTTTTTCAATATTAAAAAAATTGAAAAAATAATTTTGTCAGCTACAAACCTTATAACTGATATTTGACACACTTTTACCTGTCTAATTGATCTGAAATTTTGCACACTGGTTTGAAGTCAGAGGCAATGCACCAATCAATTAGCAGAATAAATAATTTTGAAAAAAAATTTATATATTAAAAAAAAGTACGTGTATATATATATATAAAAAATTGAAAAGGTAATTTTTTTAATTTTCAAAAATTAGATGAGAAATTCATTGTACATCTGTAAGATTGTATATACTGCATTCTTTGGAAGTGTTGTCTTTAAAAAGTAGTTTTTAAACGTATATTATTATTTTCAAAACTCTGCCCTAAACTATGGTAGGTACTTTACATAAATCCTTAGATTCTGCCAGAAAGTTAAAAAACAAACAAAATCTAAATTTTCTTAATACTGTGCACCCACATCACATTCACTCCTGTTTAATTATAAAAACCTCTTAGGTATTAATTTGGTTTACTTACTTTCAGGTCTTTACTGGAAGGCCGCACAAGCCACAAATCTTCAGCTGCCAACCCCAACTTTATCCTGCAGATTTACTACACTTCTAGACCCGTGCTCTTCCTTATGTGCTCCGGTAATGAACTGTTCTACGCGTCGCTCTATCTTGTTAACTTCACTGAGGGTCCAAGTGTCTTCTTTGGTGTTGGTCTGTGGCGGCTGCTGAGCTACGTTCTACTACCTGTAGGTGTCTTCAAGAGTATCCTTGCGCTCATGCAAGGTTATTATGCTGCTTTGAATCTAGGTAACATTGACATGCAAGAACGTGCCAAAGCTACCAATTGAGCCAACCGCGACTTCTTTATAACTTCTCTCTGACGAGTCAGTAATTGAGATCTCAATAGGTACTTCCTTTTTTCGATACAGGGTAATGGATTATACAAGATTATTATGTTGCTCTGACTCTAGTTAACACTGACATGCAAGAACGTGCCAAAGGTACCAACTGAAAAAACAACCACTTTAATTTTTCACAGTCAATACCGTATAACTTTTCACAAGCAAGTCAGTTACTGAGATCTAAATTCTATCATTTTTATTTACGAGGTAATGGATCATGTACCTACCCTATGCATACATTCTTAATTTTGTTGCTGAGTAACAGAATTTTTTTCAGTCATATTCTTAATGTTTGAGTGGAAATATCGAGGTTCTAGGTAGTACCTATGTTTTATCTTGGGATTAACTGGAGTTACAGTGGTTACGTTTATACTCGTCATTCTGATGCTTGAGACTTTCACTATAGTGCATCATGTTGCTCTCCCAGAATGAAAAATCATGCAAAGTCTGAAATATTTTGTTTGCGAGCATATAAACTAATGCTATTCCTTCAATTTGGTGCTTTTATGTCTATAGTTAATTTATTCTCTCACGATTGATTAGAATTGCTAACTCAAACTCTCCCCTCGGGGATTTTTTTGTTTCTAAATTAATTTATCGTGATACTTCCCCATTTCGTCGAGTGCACTTTTAATTCAATTTATCTCCGCCTGAGATAGTGGTTAATGTTTTCGCTTGTGTATCTCTTCGGTTTATGTATGAGAATCTTATTGCGTGATGGTGTAGGTTGTGTTTCTTTCCTTCATTCCATTAATATGCTATCTGTTGTGAGCTTTGAATGTAGATACCCATTCCTTAATTTAATTAATATTTCTATCTATTGAAGTAGATGTGCTTACTGTTTATGTATGTTGAACCTAGGTGTTCATGGTATAAATAGCAATTTTAACAATATCTGTTGATTATTAAAGCTTTTTCTTGTTAATTCCAGTTAAACTTGAGTAGAATTGGTTATGTTTCTAGCCCCCTTGCTGGGAGAGATCGTTTAGTAATCTTATCTCAATATATTAATTTATTACCTATATCAGCATTTTTGCTTAGCTTTTAACGTTATGTCCCATGGCGATGTGTTCTGACTTTAGGTATAAAATTAATGACATTAGGATGCTGTTGTGTGTTCCATTGACCTGGTCCGAGCCCTGCTGCCAATGATGTAACATACAATTTCGTTTTATTTTATTATAAACGTGTTACTTTATTATAAAGAGGTTGCCGGACTGCATTCCTCCTGCGCATTGGTTGTGACTGACTTATTCTATTATTCATGACGTTTCCTGATTGGAATGTTGGCTAATTGAATTTTTCGACTGCAGGACGGCAGATGGCTCGTAGTAACATTTTTTGAGGTCATATTTGTTACATTTTAGCGAGGGCATTGCAGTCAGAAACGCTCGTTGCTGTGAACTTCACTCTTGGCTAAATGTTGCTAGAGAAATGTATGCTTGGCATGTCATTGCTTAAGGAGTTATTTCTCACTAATGAATTAACCGACGTTTTTAGTTTTCAATGCCATTAGAGTTCCAGTGTACCATACTGTACTTGAATGTTCCTCGTAACTTTCCCGTTAATAATTAGTTTGTAGATGTCCTGGATTTTGAAACACAAATCCTAGTTCCGAACAAATTCGTGTTTTGATTTATATTTCTTTCACATGATGAGGTACCATTCCATGTAGCCAAAGCGACGTCTAGTCCCGTGCTCGTAGCCAACCTCAGAGCCCCCGAGTCTGCTGACCGAGTGAGGGAGCTTGGCGTTCTTGGTTAACGGTCAACAATGAAACTGAATTGGTCTTTGGTCGGTCACTATTAAAATTACACGAGACCAAGTACGTATTCTCTAACATTCTTTACCGAGATCTATTGCACTATATTGAGTAAATCGTACGTTAAAGATAAATTTTCCATCGAGTGCTCCTGATAACGTAACGATACGTAATTTTGACCCTGATTCCATTTGGCAAATACTTTCAGCTGTCTTTGTATTTCCATCACCTGTCTGATGTATGCATAATTGTGAAATTCCAGTGTCGATATCGACTAATTCTCGTTAGAAACCTGCATTACAAATGTTATTCTAAATATTGTGTTATCACGACTCCCTTTAATAACTATTTCATGAAATGTTGAACGCAGAAAGTTCTTTAACAGTAAAAGGATTAACAAAGCTGGTGGCTGTTTGTCAAGTAACAATCTATTGCAAGTCAAACACGATTACGTGGCGAGGACGAAGTGTGCTTTCTCGATTGAGATTCAAAAATGTGCGGATGATCTAACCAAGCATTTGCCTTCGTCAATGATGGCCCTAAGTTACTTATACAGTAATTCAATTCCCGAAGTAACAGAAAAATTGTTTTGGCACACATATGTAAATTATAAATGAAGAAATGGGGCACAGAGAACAGTTCTCAAACAAACTGATTTAGTTAGCATCCTAACGACGATTCATTTATACTTACGACATATTACATTATTGCACTTAAATTTTACGCCATGTCATCGTTAATATAAATTTTGGGATGTGCCACAAAATCCTTGCTGATCTTATTATGAACGTTAAAATTTTTTCAGATTAAATAAACGAAATTACAGTCCACATCATTGATAATTTTCTAGCGATAATCGACATATTAGTTATGATGAAATTTTACATAGTTGAAGATTATTCCTTGCAGGATTCAGCAGTACACAAGATGGAAATTAGACTTAGACCTACTAATAAGGATTTTCTCCACTTATAGAGCTTGACAGCTCCCAGCTGCCCAGAAACGCAATGAGTATTTGCAAAACTATGAAGTTTCAATGACAATAATCTTCGAACAAAGTAAATTAAAGGAGTCTTTAGAAATCGAAGTATTGTCGAATCGACTGTCGAATGGAAGCAAAATGACAAAATCGAACGAGCAGACTAACTCCAAAACAAACCAATATTTAAGAACTTTGAGCTGCGCTGCTATATTAATTCAAAGACGAAATTTTTCCCGACAGTCTTTAAGTCATCTTGTCTAATTTTTTCAGCAACGACTCTAGAACGAGAAGTGCTCATCACGAACAGAAGTTTTCTGTTCTGGAAATACTGCACATGAATTATTTCATAAGTGAAGCAGCTATATTGAACTGCTCTTTTCTGAATTATCATGATAGGTGGCATTTGTTAACTAAATGTAAATATTTCTCAATATTAAATCGTATGAAGAGATCAAGTAATGCAGAACAAATCTAACTTCAGAAGAGGAGTTGCATAGATTACATGAGAACATTTCGGAAAGATTCAAAGTGTTCAGGTTGATGAATTTAGACATTAATTGACATACTAGATATGTTATTCTATTTCATCGGTTTCAGTCTAATAAACTTTTGAAAAGAAATTGCTCGTGTAGACCAGAAAGAATTTCAATATCATCTGATCCGACGACACACGAACTTGTTACAGATTGAAGATAGATACTATACTAAGTGATGGGTAGTATCCGCACTTAAAAATGCGTCAGGTACAACGTTAGATGAGGTCAAAGAATGGGAACGCTGCTTGCTGAGGAGCTAACATGTCTCCCAAATAACACACCGTGCCGGCGAGACCCTCGAACAAGCTGAAGGGACAGTCTGGAGTGCGAGCTTTTCTGAACGTTTCTGAGAAGATGAACTTGGCAAAGCACTTGCAGCGGTGGATGTACTTGAGGTCACCTGTGAGGCGGTACAGCAGAAGGAACACGAAGCCGCTCCCAGCGATGCCGTGACAAATGCCTGAAACAACAACGCGCGTACCAAAACGTATTCATGAGTTATGAGGAAATATCTCCAGTGGTCGTACTGGCAAAAATAGCGGCAAGATTGTTACTCCGTCAGCCAATCAATGACGGAATTGGTCTCGACAAAATATGAGCTTTGGCTGGTTTTTATTTTACGATTGAAACATAAGAACATAATCTCCTTGCGTATTGACACAGACAATTATTTCGTGTTTATGGTGAATTTGGAAGTTAGGAAACAGCAACATTTAATAATACATCATTTAGCTGAAGACTTGTGACTTTATGTTACCGTACATAAATAAATGTTTAAATTAACTATTCCTTAGTTATTTCAATTAATGACTATTTTCCAAACATCTTATAAACAATGAATGATCCTTCCAACAAATTAGCCGAGGTGCAGTGAATAAACTCACATCCCGATTGCCAAGGAAATTGAATTTCGGTCAGAAATTCCCCTCTGTTCCACCAGTGAAATAAAACCCGGAATTGAGGTCCACGGTATATCTACTTTCAAAGTGCTTCATCCGTTAACAAAAAAATTCCGAAGCAAAGAGCGTCAGATATATAAATTCGTTCAAGTACTTTTATAATTAGTCCGCCTTTAATAAGGATATGACTAATTCACGTCGCTCTATCTTTGCTTTTATACTCTAGATAAATTTATTTAATATTAATACTATCAAACCTGCGCCTTTCTTGAGCAGTCCTTTCTGCCACGTGATTTCCCCACACTTGATGCACACGTCGAGGTATTTCGGGTCATTGAAGAATGTGTACGCCTTAGCAAATAAGTAGATCATGCCTGTAAAGATTATGTTCCATCAATGAAATAGCAAGTATAATTGCCGAGACAAAACACAGTACATTGCGGTTAACAAAATATAAAAAGCAGCTACAATAGAAAACGTCAAACCACAATGATTGATAGTTAAGGTACCAGGTCCACTATGGAGTTTACATCCATTGGTCGTACAAAAAATATAAATAATTGGGGTATATGAACTCGGGAGAACTATAGATGAACTATAAAGAATTGGGGTATATTAAGTGAACAATATTGTACTAAACCGTCAATATTTTTGTTCCAATGATCGTAGATAAAATAAAAATGTTAATAAAACAATGCTAAAAATTAAATATATAATAATTATTGAAAATAATAATCTTTGAAGGGTTTCTAGACATTGAATATTTTTACACAAATATTCATTCCCATTTATTTTACATTACGATGCTAAGAATTGTAAACATTACATACAATACATCAATTCTATATCATTCAAACTGTAAACTTATTGGTACTAAGAATTCAAAGCAAATAATTTCCAGCACGAAGTTTTTTTTTTTTTTATTATAAAATAAGTACATACTATTGGATATGAATATTTAATATCATCCAGAATGGAAACTCAGGAATACCAGGGGCGCCGTGGCACCAGTGCACCAGTTCGTCCTCCTCAGCGCGCCCCCCAGAGAGCTCGTCCATGGCACACGGGAAGTTGCCGTTGGGCTGCTGCAGCGCTGCTAGACCGTCGATGGTCTGGCGTAGCAGTCCCGTGACCTCAGGTTCTTGTTGTAGCCAGTTGGGGAAGCTGCAAGGAAACGTCAGGTTAGGACACGGAAGATGGTAGTAAACATCAGGTTAGGACATGGAAGATGGTAGTAAACATCAGGTTAGGACATGGAAGATTGTAGTAAACGTCAGGTTAGGACATGGAAGATGGTAGTAAACGTCAGGTTAGGACATGGAAGATGGTAGTAAACGTCAGGTTAGGACATGGAAGATGGTAGTAAACGTCAGGTTAGGACATGGAAGATGGTAGTAAACGTCAGGTTAGGACATGGAAGATGGTAGTAAACGTCATGTTAGGACATGGAAGCTGCAACCTAACGTCATGTTAGGACATGGAAGCGTCAACCTAACGTCATGTTAGGACATGGAAGCTAGTAAACGTCAGGTTAGGACATGGAAGATGGTAGTAAACGTCATGTTAGGACATGGAAGCTGCAACCTAACGTCATGTTATGACATGGAAGCGTCAACCTAACGTCATGTTATGACATGGAAGCGTCAACCTAACGTCATGTTAGGACATGGAAGCTGCAACCTAACGTCATGTTATGACATGGAAGCTGCAACCTAACGTCATGTTATGACATGGAAGCTGCAACCTAACGTCATGTTAGGACATGGAAGCTGCAACCAAGCTGGGACATGGAAGGACATGGAAGCTGCAACGTCATGTTAAGACATGAGCCATATTTGAGCCTAATCAATGTTTGTAAAGAAATGGAGCTTTTACCTGATAGGTAATTTTGAACACCTCTTTTACATGCCAGTAATAAATATAATGTAATTCCACGAAGTGCATCTTCTTTTAATATGCTAGTTATTAATATTATGGAAAACCACGGGGGTGATTGTCGGTCGAAAGAGTTCCACTAGCCCAGGACACGTCAGGACGACCTGAGCATGACGAGGAGCACTCTAGCCCTGAACACGTCAGGACGACCTGAGCATGACGAGGAGCACTCTAGCCCTGAACACGTCAGAACGACCTGAGCATGACGAGGAGCACTCTAGCCCTGAACACGTCAGGACGACCTGAGCATGACGAGAAGCACTCTAGCCCTCAACACGTCAGGACGACCAGAGCATGACGAGGAGCACTCTAGCCCTGAACACGTCAGGACGACCTGAGCATGACGAGAAGCACTCTAGCCCTCAACACGTCAGGACGACCAGAGCATGACGAGGAGCACTCTAGCCCTGAACACGTCAGAACGACCTGAGCATGACGAGGACCACTCTAGCCCTGAACACGTCAGGACGACCTGAGCATGACGAGGAGCACTCTTAGCCCTGAACACGTCAGGGTGACCTGAGCAGGACAAGGAGCACTCTAGTCCTGAACACGTCAGGACGACCTGAGCATGATGAGGAGCACTCTAGCCCTCAACACGTCAGGACGACCTGAGCATGACGAGGAGCACTCTAGCCCTGAACACGTCAGGACGACCTGGACCTGAGCATGACGAGGAGCACTCTAGCCCTGAACACGTCAGGACGACCTGAGCATGACGAGGACCACTCTAGCCCTGAACACGTCAGGACGACCTGAGCATGACGAGGAGGATGCCAGCAAGACCGTGCGCTGCGCCGAGGTACTGCGTGCCGTAGTAGTGATACATGAGGGGCAGGGGCGAGCTGGTGGCTTTGCTGTACTGTAGCCCCGACTGCACCATCGTCATCAGCATGCGGTGACATTCTGAGTCTGGGTAAACCTGTAATAATAGCTTTAGTTGAGTGCATTATTGGTATTAAATACATCATAATATTATAATTATGATAATATGTTATCATTTTATAAGTTATCACAATGATAATGTATAATTCATACAAAGCAAATTGTAACCCTAAAAATTAATGCTATAGTAAAGCAGCTTTTTTGTGTCATTCAAACAGTCAAACGGGGTAATAAGGGACGGGCGGGGTAAATCGAGACAGTCATCCCACATTTTGTAGAAATTTTGTAGCAGCAAAACTAAAAATAGTAGCATAAAGTTCAACATTGTTACTATCTATGTAGCATAAAGCAAAGTAAGAAATCTTACATTTACTACCTCTAAAAAATCCCTGAAAAAAGTGTGAAAAATTAGATTTTTCAATAGTACCGTAAAATGGGGCTTAGACCGGCGGGGTAACTTAGACCACTTTTCGTTTTTTTAACAAAAACCCCCACAACTCAAAAACTATTTGACATAGAAAAATTTTGTCAATGGGCATTAAAGGCCTAATACTGAGGCTACATAACACAATAGAAAAATTTGAAAAGTTTGCATATCTAATAGGTTAAAAAATTAAAAATGTGACCCACAAAAAAAAGCTATTATTTAAAGCCTGTCAGAGTACCCCCTTCAATTTTTTTTTTTTTTTAAATAACTCCAGGTTTTGATGCATTGTAGTAGAACTCTTCTAGTTACATATGCAAACAACAAATTTCAGGAAAGTGTCATAGTTTGCAAATGGGGGGCGCCGCCCCCAAATGGGGTAACTTAGACCACCTAATGTCAGCCCTGACGGGGTAACATAGACCGGCTTGGAAGTTAATATAAAATTACCATATATAACATATTTTATGTTTGACAGCCTATTTATGTTTTTTCTTTATGTTTCAGACTCTACAGAGTCTTATATATGGTAATTTCAACTCAATTTCCAAGCCAGCCAATATTACCCTATCAGGGCTGCCATTAGGTAGTCACATTTCCCTCATTATGGGGCAGTGCCCCCCATTTGCAAACTATGACACTTGCTCAAGTTTGTCTTTTGCATATGTAACTAGAAGAGTTCTACTACAATGCACCAAAACCTGGAGTTATTTGGAGTTATTTTACCAAAAAATTTAATTGATTTTACCACCCGGTCTAAGTTACCCCAAGAGCTGGGGTAACAAAGACCACCACTTTTTTTTGAAATTACATAAAGACTATGAGAGGCAGGAGCCAGCAATTTATGGTGAGTGAAGCTAGAGTATAGACCTGTATTTAGCATGTTTCAATTCAAGTTTAATTTAGCTAGTAAAAAAATGGCATCATTTATAAAAATAAAAGTGGTCTAAGTTAACCCATTTTACGGTACCTCAGCTAAGGTCTGTAGCAAGAAAAAATATTCGCCATATTAAAAAATTTTAATTACATAAAAGTTGCACACAGGTGTTGGCTTAAAAACATGTTTGATGGAATTTGCGTATCTCATCCCAAAAAAGGCGGCCATTTCCGCACGACGGGGTAATAAGGGACACCCCCTAAAAATACATTTACAGCAGAACCTTGGTTAGCAAAGGCTCCACTTAACCAAAAAATCAATCAACAACAAAAAATTTTAATGACATTTACCTTGCTCAGCAAAAAAGTTTCATTTAACAAAAAATTAATGCATCATTGGTCATCACAAAATTGTGCATAGAATGTCATAGATAGAATTGTGCACCGGGCAACATAGAATGAAAAGTAATTAACCTAAACTATGATTTATTTCTCCAAAGAATATGATGGTTGTCCTTAAAATATTCCTTTGTGTTTCAGGCATGTTTTTTATAATCTTGTTTTGTTAAGAGTAAATTCACTTGACCCAATTAAAATTGTGTGCAATTACAAGCCATCCTGTAAGCTTACAGATACAGGAGAAATGCTACATGGCTGCTGATATGAAACCTGCAGTGGACAAGGTCATTGTAAATGCACAATGGCATGTCTGTGGATACGGTAATATCTTATCAATAATACGATAATAGATGGATATGTTAATATCATATCAATAAAGAAAAAACAAGTAAAAATCACAGAAAATATCATTTGTTCTAGTACATCTACATCATCTACAAATGAAGAGGAGGACTTCAGAGTACTATTAGTGATGGACGAGTACACTTTGCATGCTTCAAACGTTTTAAAATTTAGTTATTTCAAGTGTCCCAGATTACTCCATTTCCAGGGGTAATTTGGGATGCTTTTATTTTGCGTCTCACACTTTAGGAATAGCATATCGAATTTTTTTTTTTGAGTTGCCATTCGATAGTCCTCGAAAAGAGCTTTTGAATGAGCCCAAACTTATTTTTGAAATATTTTATGGTAAGAAGTTATTAACAGAAAAGGCTCAAAACGGTCCCTTTTTATCCCATTTGACAGAATAAATTAAAAAGGTTTTGTAATTAAGTACAGCTATACATGGGAGCTTAGATATAACATTAGGTACATGTATACAAGACAAATCTAAAATGGAAAGACATACTGTCAACTGGGGCTACTCGGGACGATTTCGAACGTTTTTCATTCATAACTTCTTACCATGAAACATTTCATAAACAAGTTTAGGCTCATTTCAAAGCTCTTTGCAAGGGCTATCACATGGCTTCTCCAAAAAATTCCATATGCTATTTGTAAGGTGCCAGAAGCAAAAAAAAAAAAGAGTGTCCCAAGTAGCGCCGTCAAACGGGGCTACTCAGGACACTTGGAATAAAACTTCATTTAAAAACATTTGAAGCATGCAGAGTGTACTCATCCATTACTAACAGTACTCTGAAGTCCTCCTCTTTCATTGTAGATGATTTAGAGGTAGAATAAATGACATTTTCTGTGATTTTTCCTCGTTTTTCCTTTATAGGTATATTACCATATACATTAATTACCGTATTATTGATGCGACATTACTGTATCCATCAACATGCCATTGAGCATTTACAACAACCTTGTCCACAGCAAGCTTCATATCAGCAGCCTTATAGCATTTTTTCTGTATCTGTAAGCTTACAGGACGGCTTGTAATTTCACACCATTTTAATTGGGTTAAGTGAATTTACTATAAAAAAAGATCGTGAAAAACATACCTGAAACAGAAAGGAATGTTTTAGTGACAACCATCATATGTTTTGGAGAAATAAATCATAGTTTAATTCCATTACTTTTCATTCTATGATGCCTGGTGCACAATTCTATATAGGTATGACATTCTATGCACAATTTTGTGATGAGCAATGATGCAGTAATTTTTTATAGGTGAAATTTTTTTTCGCTGAGGTAAATGGGGGGATGTCCCGAGGAGCCCCACCGTGCAGAAATGGCCGCCATTTTTTTTGTGATTGAGGTATGCAAATTCCGTAAATAAAGTTTTCATGCTGACACTTGTCTGCCACTTTTTTCTAAGCGAAATTTTTCAATACAGCAAATATTTTTTTACTACAGACCTTAGCAGAATTAACTTTTAAAAATATTGTTTTTCGCCATTTTTTTCCAGGAATTTTTCAAAGCTAGTAAATGTAGTATTTTTGAGCTTCTTTTATACTACATAGATAGGAAAAATGTTGAAGTTTATGCCACTATATTTAGTTTTGTAATATTCCAATTAGTTTTGCTACTAAAACAGTTTTACGCCGTGTCGGAGGACTGTCCCGAGTTACCCCGCCCGTCCCGAGTAGCCCCGGTTTGATTAGGAATAGGAATAAATTTTACATAAAATTAGGGATTGATGTTTAGACATAAACTCGGGATTTTGAGGGAGCCTAGCTAGAGCGCTGCGTGAGACCGGCGCAGTATTTAAGAGAGAGCGGGCCGACCGCGAGTTAGTCCCGTTCGGGTGTTCGAGGCAGTCAGACGTATCGTGGACGCAAGTGGTCGCAAGTATCGTGAGCCTCGAGTACCGTTCAGAAGAGACCATTTTAACACGCCGTTTATCGCAAGTATCGTGAGCCTCGAGTACCGTTCAGAAGTTGGATATCGAGAGAAAAGTTAATCGCGGCGATTGAAGAGATTATCATAGGTGTCGAAATAACCGGTCGAAATAACCGGAACAAAGAGAAATACTTACCGCCGAAATCGCCTATATCTACTTAAAGCATAGTCACGGTTGCAATCACTACATCACGACTAAAAGGAAAGTAGAAATAAAGTAGAAGTAGAAACCATTTTCTAATCAGGTTGACGGTACCTATTAATTCCAGAATTGAAAATGACAGTTAGAGTGAGATTTGGAAACATAGGTAATGTTCTATGTTTAAAAATATTTTCCATTGACAATATGTCTTATAACAGAGTACTACCTGAGTGTTGAGATGTTTCCGTAGCCACAAAATAGCACACAGAAATCCTGCTCTCCCCACAAAGAGTTCATCTCCTCCGTTAGCAAACCAATTGGGTTCTTGGAGAATTGAAGCAGCAGCAAGGATTTGCTGCAGTGCATTATCACGCTCAGCACTCTGACCTTCAAATGAGGAATAACACATAACTAAAATTGATGTTTTCATGCTACTTAGGGCAGTGTGATCATTTTAACAGCTCAACCCATGCATCAGTAATTTATACTTTCAATTTACATTTATCTCTAGTGAAATAAATTGTTGGTTGACACAAATAAATATGAATGAAATAAAATTCATATTTCAAGGTTTGTAGGTATATACAATAAAGATATCAGTTAAGGTAAAAACGTGCACTAAGAGAACTAACAAACCAAGCTTGTGATGAACAACAGCAGCAACAGCCATGATGCCAACATTGCCTGTGAGGAAGCCTGTCCTGTCAGTGATGTGTTGTCTGTTCCCAGCTGCTTGCATGTATTGAATGGGACGTTTGAGGAAACTGAGAGCCTCCTGCAGGTACTGAGTCTGGCGTGAGGATTCTGTGCCTGGCAACTGGGATAGGTAGAGCATCATGTACCCTCCTCCAGCCAGTCCAACGTACAAGCCTCCATCTGTGTGCTATAATAATATGTTAGATTCACCATTGAGAATAATTGCCAAGTACCAAATAATGCAAATTAAGGCAGAAGCAAGAAAACTTGTTAGACAGCTACTGACATAAAAAATAATGAAATTCTAATTCTTATATGAGCCTTCATTGAAATTTACAATAGTAAAAACAGGCTCAAATCTGTGAAATTTCTTAATTAGTTTGTGAATTTTAATAAAATTAGAGAAGATAAATTTACAGAACAGAGTTAAAGTCTGTAATATGGATCAACTTTCATTTAAACATACGTATCAATATACAGAACTTGTTTATTAATGCACAAACAAATGTTAGATCACAAGTGGATACAAAATTTTCTCAAAATTTTCAGGCATATTTCAGGATATAGGTATTTCAATGGTTGATCAAAAGTTAGTGAATCATTGATGTTTTTCATTGAACTTAAGAAAAAACACTTAGTATGAAATAATAATTACCTTTGCTTCCTTTGTGAAGTTCTTGAGGACAATATTGACAAGCATGTCCAGCATTTCTTTCTGTTTCTCAGGAGTGATGGTAATTGATGATGGACCACCATCTTCATGATCAGGGTAGTGATTAAGGAAATATCGCTTGGGTTCAACACTCATTGTGCAAGAGGAATGCACGGCACTGGGTGTCTTCAACTTCTGGTCTTTATTAGTGATTCTTTCTTCTAAAAGGTGATATCTTACTATTTAAACCTAGATCAAAGATGAAGTGAAATTTATAATGGAAAACTCTTAATTACAGAATAATTTAAGAGTAAAGTATTATTTAGTTAAATGTCATACAATTACTGCAGTGTAGTAATTAAATTGAAACATAGACTAAGGAAAATGTGAATCTACCGTCAAACGGGGTAAAAAGGGACGGGCGGGGTAAATCAGGACGCACGTCCCACATTTCGTAGAAATGTTGTAGCAGCTAAACTAATCAAAATATTGCAAAACTAAAAATAGTGGCGTAAACTTCAACATTTTCACTAACAATTATGTATAAAGCTAGTCAAGAAATAAAACACTTACTATCTCTAAAAAATTGCTGAAAAAAGTGTGAAAAGTGCGATTTTGGAAAAGTACCTCTGCTAAGGTCTGAAGCAAAAAAAATATTTGCAATATTAAAAAATTTTACTTACATAAAAGTTGCACCCAGGTGTCAGCTTGCAAACGTAATCGACGGAATTTGCCAATCTCTTAAAAAAATGGCAGCCATTTCAGCATGGCGGGGCTACTCAGGACACCCCCTCCCCCGGGGTAATTAGGGACACCTTTAAAAATGCATTTACAGTAGAACCTTAGTTAGCAAAGGTTGAAGTTAACAAAAAACTTGATTAACAACAAAGAATCTTGATTACATTTACCTCGCTCAGTGAAAAAAATTCACTTATCAAATAATTAGTGCATCATCAGTTGTAACAAAATTGTACATAGAATGCTATATACTGTCAACCGGGGCTACTCGGGACAGATTTGAACGATTAGTTTTAAATAACAGTTAATAACTTCTTACGATGAAACATTTCATAAACAAGTTTAGGCTCATTTTGATGACTGATGATGCACTAATTTTTCGATAAGTGAAATTTTTTTCGCTGAGCAAGGAAAATGTGATCAATATTCTTTGTTTTTAATCAATTTTTTTTTCGTAATTGAAGCCTTTGCTAACTGAGGTTCTACCCTTAATGCATTTTTGGGGGTGTCCCGAATAGCCCCGGGGAGGTGTCCTGAGTAGCCCCGCAGTGCGGAAATGGCTGCCATTTCTTTTTGGAATTAGATAGGCAAATTCTGTCAATTACGTTTTCAAGCCGACACCTGGGTGCAACTTTCATGTAAGTAAAATTTTTTTAATGCGGCAAATATTTTTTTTGCTACATACCTTAGCAGTTGTAACTTTACAAAACATAGTTTTTCATCATTTTTTTCAGGAATTTTTCAAAGCAAGTAAATGTAGTATTTTTCGACTTCCTTTATACTAGATAGATAGGAAAAATAGTTACGTTTACGCAACTATTTTTAGTTTTGCGATATTCCAATTAGTTTCGCTACTACAACAGTTTTACGCCGTGTCATAGGCCTGTCCCAAGTAGCCCCGCCTGTCCCGAGTAGCCCCGGTTGACGGTATAGAATTGTGCACCGGGCATCATAGAATGAAAAGTAATTGACCTAAACTATGATTTTTTTCTCCAAAACATATGATGGTTGTCACTAAAACATTATTTTCTATTTCAGGTATGTTTTTCACAATCTTTTTTGTTATAGTGAAATCACTTGACTTAATTAAAATTGTGCAAAATTACAAACCATCCTGTAAGCTTACAGATACAGAAAAAATGCTACATGGCTGCTGATATGAAGCTTGCAGTGGATAAGGTCTTCGTCAATGCTCAATGGCATGTCCATGGATACAGTAATATCACATTAATAATACAGTAATTAATGAATATGGTAATATAATATCAATAAAAGAAAAACAAGTAAAAATCACAGAAAATGTCATTTATTTTACATCTACATCATCTACAATGAAAGAGGAGGACTTCAAAGTACTGTTAGTAATGGATGAGTACACTCTGCATGCTTCAAAAGTTTTAAAATTAACTTTTATTGCAAGTGTCCCAGATTACCCCGTTCCCAGGGGTAAATCGTGATGGTTTCATTCTACGTCTGGCACCTTACGAATAGCATATGGAATTTTTTTGAAGATGCCATTGGATTGCCCTTGCAAAGAGCTATAAAATGAGCCTAAACTTGTTTCTGAAATGTTTCATGGTAAGAAGTTATTAACAAAAAACACTCAAAACCATCCCTTTTTACCCCATTTGACAGTATATTTTATAAGTGTTGATACTGTGATAACATAATAGAATTATTTTGTCATGTTTTGAGGCAATCACCAATTCCCTAATTTTCTACATAGGTACATGATATCAGCCTATCAGGCTTGGAATATATCTCCTTGGTGAACCGTGGCTGGATTTTTAGCCATGCTTTTATGGATTTGCCAGCTGTGATTCCATTTCTTTGAGCCATGAATTTCATATCTTGGCCATAAAGAGCCATTTACAAGCTGCAAACTTATTTGCTAAATGCTAAGTCCTGTGCCAGTGTTACCCTAAATCTCTAATTTTTCCCAAAAAACAGTCAAGCAGCAACAATAACATTTGTCTTTTCCTTAGAGGCAACTGAACACATGATAATGCAATTGCAGTGATGCAGTCTGACTGCTCTGATGTGACCACACCTATGCCAACTTCAACAAAACATTTAGGACAGACTGGAATTTTTCTACTTGTTTCTGAAATCTTGCAACTCCAATGTGATGAAATTTGAATTCAATTAGAATCTTGCAGACCAATTGTACACTTTTGTAGGAACTAGGAAATAATTCATCTGACAGAAATCTGGCAGCATAGTGGCAAACCAGAGATTTTTAGAATCAGTTCATTTTTAATTTCCTCATTTACTCAAGATTTGAACCAATTTCTTATGTATGATAATGGTGGTTTCACTGGTTTGCCGGTATCCATGATACTTTACTGGTCTACTTATAGGACTCAAAAATGAACTTGAAATGAAAAAAGTCTAAAAAACTCTCTGCTTTGCCAGTTGCCACTATGTTAAGACTTGCAGTTCCGGAAATGGCGGGAAAGTTCTAGTTGCAGCCCTAAAGGTATATATTTTTCCACGCTTGGTAGCCTATAGGTAACCATATAGGGTAGACAAATTATCATTACCTTATGTTTTGCAGGATATTTTCATTATTTTGGCAGGAGCGTTGAAGTACTGCGGATTATAGTGGCAAAGCTGAGAGTTTTTTTAGACTCCCTCAAGTTCATTTTTGAGTCCTAAAAGTAGACCAGTAAAGTATCATGGATACCAGCATTATCTTACATAAGAAATTGGTTTAAGTCTTGAGTAAATGAGGAAATTAAAAATGAACTGATTCTAAAAAATCTCTGGTTTGTCACTATGCAGTGCCCAGTCTGTAGAGTATGGCACAACATAGGTCGAGGACGCCGTTTTTCTGCCCAAAAGACTCCAAGGCACCATCTAAACGGACGGTGGATGCCGATGTTTGCAGCAAACGGACGGCGAGGACGCCAAATTGATTGCCCATGATCTGGAAGGTGTTGCAACTTGCGTGGGCGCCGGAAGTTTACCATGCACACCACCAGTACACCAGGGAAGAAAGTTGCCACTTTGTTTGCTAGAAATACGAAAGTGCATCTCTGACCGATGCCTGATGATAGCACGTACTTGCACGATCAATGCGGCAGTTGCAAGATGATCGACATAGACACCTGCGCTTCACAATTGATGATCAACATAGACGCCCGCGCATTACAATCAATGCCCGACATGGATGCACGCATTTCACGATCGATGTGGCCGACGCTCACGCTTCGCGAATGATGTGGCATGATTGAAATAGATGCACGCATTT